GAGTTCATATAAATAACCCAAAAAATATAGAGGCCTTAAGAATTATAAAATACCTACACAATGAACATATTTATTATTTAGAGGACAGTTATAATATTAGAAAATCATGTTGGTTACAAAACAAAAAAAAATTTGTTTGATGGTTTTAATAGAACAGAACTTTTAACAGTTCATTATTATGATTATGCTATTGAACAAAGAAAAAATGATAGATCAATGAAAAATACACATATAATTAACATCAAAGAACAAAATCTTAAAAGTTTAGATGATTACCTTGAAGCTTTAAAAATGATAACAAGTATTCCTACATTGAATGAATATCTTCAACATTATGTGATTCCTATTGTTGCAGATTTTCCTGGGCAGTTATTTATTTGAAGAGCTGTATCATTATATCAAAAATCAATGAATGATTCTCCAAATAATTTGAAGATCCCCAAAATTATTAATGGCTTTATTCCTCTTCTTGGACCATTACATGTCTCTTTAAATATGAGGGAGTCAACTATTTCAACTTGTTGGAATTTTTTTGAACAACTATATAAATTTGTTTTTGGAAAAAATAAAAAATTAGCAAAAAAACCAATGTCTTGGAAAATAAACACTCTTTTAGATTTAACAGATAAAGGCTGGAAACAAGTAGCAAACAACATAATTGAAAAATTTGGAAGGTGTTGTAAGGATACAGAATATAGGAGCACTGTAGTTTTGTTAGATAATATAGTTCCAGCAGTATTGGATATTTATGCTATTATTTTTTGATCTGGTTCCTGTGAAGAATATGTAGAAACTATTTTTATACTGTGGACTTTTGCATTAAGATGGGATCAAAAGACTATAACAATTACCTTTAGCTTTTTTGTCTGACTTTTTTATTGGAAGGACAATAAGCATCCATTCTATGATGCTATAAGAAAATATTTAGTTAATTTTAATGATTATTATGTTGAAAATTGGCATAGTTGTATAAGAGCCAATACCAGTTCACAAAGTTCATCTAAAAATATAATAAAACAAGCATTGGCATTAGATGGCCATGAACAAATCTTAGTTGATGCATTTAAAGTTTTAAATACATACCCTTATACAGAATCTAATTTAGATTATCTAACCAATAGAGCTAGCTTATTTTTAATTAAATATTTTATTCATTATATAATAAACCAAATCAGACCATAATAAGTAACAAGAATAAGATCTATTTTGCAGCACTAAATCAAAATGTAAAATTAAAAAATTTACCTACAGCATTTCACACTTTATTTAGACCATTGATTGATAATTGTGATCATTGCAAACAAAAATTTGCAAGTAATTATAATCCTACTGGTTTGGTGCTGATATGTGACATGGATATCATTTGAATTGTTATAATACAATTGGTAGAAATTTAAATATTGTCTAGAGTTTTATGAAAATGGGATTACTACAAATGTAAAATCTTATGTTAATAGATTAGAAAAAGAAGTGGAAAATAACAATGAAATGTTAAATGAGGAAATTGATGATAATAATGAAGATGAAAATGATACCAGTGAAATAGAATTAGAAAATGCTCTCAATCAAATAATAAATTGGTGATTTGAAATTATTTATAAATATCAGAAAATGTTCACTCCATGACACAAAGCACAAGTGTTTAAACTGACAGACCTTTAATGACATGGTTTTGAAATATGACATTTGCAAGTTTCTGGCATTTATTTATTTTATTGTTACTCTTATATTGTTGTATAATAATAATAATTATTATTATTATAATTATTTCTTGTTTTTATTAAAAAAAATCTTGACATTATCATCTTTAAGAATAAATAAATATTTTTTTTGTATAATATGTTTTATAATATGGGACATGCTGCAACAAACCAGACAAAGTGAACATTTATATCACCAAGAATTTCAGGGATCAAAATTTAGTCATTTGTAATATGATTATAATTATCAGTTTATAATATCCCATTGTTATCTTAAGTGATATATAGAATTACCTCTATACAAAAATAATTAATATGAAACTAATTTATATCAGATCTACTATGGAACCTAAGAATTATAGCACCATTAGAAGCATTTTGAAGAAAGGATAAGGTGAAAAAATTGCTCCTTACATTTTCAAAATAAATGATACTCAGACACTAGAAACTTATCTAAGGAAAGAAAAGATTACCTATGAAATTTACCAAGAAAGAAAACTAATAAATGTTGGAAAAAGAAAGCAGAATGAAGATGCATTATTACCTAATAAAAAGCAGAAACCTTTAAAAGGAAAATAACTATCATTTTCTTTGATAGTTGGAATTATACAGAGGGAAATAACCAAAAATTACTTTTTTATTTTCAATCAAGACCATCTTTTAGTCTGACTTCAATTTGAGCAATTTTACTATTCTGTTGTTGCAATTGGGTTAATTGAACTTTTAAATCATTGATTTCCTTTTCTTTAACACTTAATTTATCAACTAGTTCTTTAGGGGTTAATTTTTTTAATCTTTCTAGTTCAGTCTCCAATTCTTTTATTCTATCCAAAAGTTCTTGCTTTTGCCTCTTACCTCATTCCTCAGACTTTTCTTGAAATTTGATTACTTCTTCCCTTTCAATTTCTAGGCTTCTTCAGTCTTGTTTAGTTGTTTTTTCAGAGAGTTTATTTGCTGTTTGTAGAAAGCATATTGACTTATTTCTTCATGAGGCAAGAGATGAAGTTCTTTTTCTTCCATATCTTCTTCATATTTGACACAAAAACAAATATATTTACCACTAAGAACATCAAGGTAATGTCTGGTTTGTAATCTGCCACATTTCTCACATTTTTCTAGTTCATCATTTTCAAACTTTTCCTTATAGCTCTCACAAACTACATCATCTGCAACATATTTACCATTTATTTTAATACAAGCTACTATTTGATTAACAGACTTATTATCCTCTCCATAAAGATTAGAACAAAAATCACAAGTTTTTCAACTTGTCCTTTCTAAATCTAAAAGCATGTAAGTTAACTCTCCATTAATTATCTGTTTACTTCTATTCTAGCAACTAACTCTTGGATTTGGTGTTTTTTGTTCTCAATCAATTGATTGAATTTAGTTTTTGTCTTTTGCTTAAATAACTTAAATTTACTTTGTTTTTTAGGTAAAGCAGGGCTTCAAGTTCCTGGAGAAATAGTTTATTCCAGATCATCATCATTGCAAAAAAATGAGCAAGAAGTGAATTAGAACAGACCATCACTCAGCTAATGGAGTCTAAATGTAAATTATTTTTAAAGAATGATTACAGCGTGTGGACAAATCTTGGGCATGTTAATATGAAGTTGTCATTGGAAACACCTTCACATTGCAAAAGAATAATTATTAATAATTGATGAGGGTGTTGAGAGAATGGGCAAAGTGGGCGTGGCAATTACACTAAATAATGTTGCTTCCAATACTTCCATCATATACATGATGCAATTCAAAGATAAAAATTTTTAATTAAAGCCTTTAATATCATGAAAGGCATTAATTACTAGCTAAAAAAAAATTATCACTATATTTGTTTGGACTTTTTAATTAAAATTCAAAAAAGACATTGTAATTAATTTATAATTTAGACATTTTTTTTCATTATTTAATTAATAAATATATTTTTTGAACAATGAACATAGAAATTTTATGCAATTGAGGATATTTAAAAAATTTAGCCTGAATTTATTGATTCAAGAATATTATTAAATTAAATTGTTATAGATATTTTTAATATAATAAAAGCAATTGTTAAGATCAGACTTAATTTATTTCTACTATTGATTCTTTATCTATAAAATCCAACATCTTGTGAAATTATTATTGATACAAATAATAATAATTATTATTATCTGGTGGTGATTTAAATGAAGTAAATTTTAGTGCTGAATACGACAATGTTTCTACTGCGACTTGGTTTTTAACATCCAGAATTTTATCAATTTTCTTGATTATTCTTATGTTTTTTCGGATCAACCAATTAATTTTCAATAGTTTATCACAAAATGTGATAATATCATTTGTAATGCTGTCTATTGGTAATAGAATTGTATCAATCAACATCATTCGCTGTAGCGGTCTAAGTCCAAGGTCCATCACATAGACATCCATTGTGGTTTCTGTAATTTAATATAAATAAATTATTAATCATCCATGCAAATGGATATAAAATCATCAACAATTGTTAATAGTAAACATCTTGCCATGAAGGTGGAATGCGATAATTCTTAAATCCATCAAATCTTCCAAAATAATATCAGAATCACCAAATTTTTTAATAATATGATCCCAAGCATCCTTCATAAATCTTCCAAGACAAAACTTGTCTTCTTTTATGTGATTTAATAAATTGTCTCCATCGTAAAATGGATCATAAGAAATTTACATAAATATTATATCATAATTGAATTCAAATTGAAAATTTTCAAAATACGAATAAAAATCTGGATGTTTTATTGGACCCGCGTTCGTATCATAATGATTGCTTGTGGATTGTGGGACACATCCGTCCCATCTTCTTGCTAGTTCGGTAGCACCCAACAAAAAAAAATCAACCATAGGCTTTGTAAAATCGTGTGAAAAGCTTCGTTCATTTATCGATGGACTTTGACGTTGGTATGAAGACAACTTCCACACATATTTTCTAAATTTAATCAATTTAAAATTTAAACCAAGGTATTCAAAATAATAATATCTTAACAATTAATTATTAATAATTACTTACAACTAAACACTAGTGCCATAATCCAAAAAAGGAAAAAGTATGGTTGCAAAAGTGGTCGCAAAGGTAATTGCAACCACTTTTTATATGCCGTAAATACAATTACTACCATCATCATAATTTATGGCACTAGTCTTTACTTACAACGAATTAACGAGGTTGATAATTCCATAATGAATATCCCATTTGAACATTGAACAAGGTATGGTGGTTGGTGAGTAGACTCCGATAAAGGAACCATTTCCACGTGTGATAATTACTTGTATCAATTCCCTTTGGGCCTTATTTAATTGTGCATCAATCGATATATTTAGGGATAATTCATTCAATGACTTGTTTTGTTTTAAAGCTTTATAAAACCCTTTCTGTTCTGCCCTTATGTTGTGCTTATTAATTATTCCTAGCGAAAGGAATTCATTTTCTTTAAAAATAATTTTCTTATAATTGCTACAAATAGTAATAACCGATCTATTGTAAAATAGTAAATTATAAATCACAGGAAACGAACATATAAATCGGAAATGATTTACATGTATCACGAAGTGAAAATTTGGAAACGATTATCACGGAATAACTCAACAAGAAATAAACCAGTACAATTTAATAAATGTTACACTAATTAATAAGGCGCACCAATCAAATAAATAGCTCTCGGAAAATAACCCAAATATTGGAGATATAAATATTCCAACATTCTAAAGTGTAACAGATTACAAAGTCTCAGAATAATATTTAAATGAAAGAATTTTACATGACTCATGATGACTAGAAATTACTTGAAAATAATTCTAAACGGAAGGTTTAAATAATAATTAAGGAATATATTAATTAGTATAAATTAGGATTTCAACAAAGTCAGATAACTAGATGATAGAACCTTTAACGTGTATAAATACATTGTAAATTTCTTTTTCATATAATAATGAGTTCATCAGTTAATTCATTCTTAACTACTATCTTGTAATAACAATAATATCTTATTAATAAAATATAAACATAATTATCTCTTAAAATAATCTATTGCCAGTGGAATTATCCACCCACTTCCAAAACCACATAAACCTTTAACTCTAACTTAATCATTAATTAATAACTATCTTACCAGGGGACACCTTTGATAAGTATAGTGTGTGTATTCTCTTTTAATCTTATTTCTTTATTTTAGATTAGGCCAATGCCTAAACAAGTGGAAACCCTAGCTAGGTGCGTTCAGTTAAGAAACACTGAACTGTCTATATAAACACAACATATTGGTATCAAGGAGGATACTGGGATTATTATCGAAAGAGGTAATAATTGACACGTTCTGGCTCAGGCAGCAAACATAGCAACTGCTGAGAAAATGTTACCGGAAGGGAAGTAAGAAAACTTGCCCTGCAAATAATTAAATAGCTTGAGCACTATAGTGAAAGAAAATAATCAAAGAATTACATAACTGGATACTGCCATAGGAAGGGATAAATAATATTATAACCAAATCAATAGATTTGTGTGAGACGCGAATTTTGATCTCACAATATAAACATATAATATATACTGTGTTTATATCAATTTTTATATTTATATTAAAATTTTTAATTTTTATTATATTGTCATTATTGTTAGAATATCCCAGGGCATATCTCCTTCACATTAGATTGCTGGACTTCTGCAAATACAATTCCTTTTCTAGGAATAACAAGTCATTGGATAAATATTGATTGGCAACTCCAAGAAACATTGATAGATTTTGTAAAGCTATCTGGTCCCCATTCTGGGGATAACTTGCGAGAAGCATTTGTGGCTTCATGTAGAGACCTTGGAATATTTGCAAAGGTAATTATTTTAAAAATAAGCATATTTAATTCAATTAAATTTAATTGATTAATATATTATTTCCAAATATAGCTCTTAGCTGTTACAACAGACAATGCTATGAATAACAATACATTTGTTAGTTCTTTAGCTGATATTTGTTATAATGAGGGTATTAATTTTGATATTGATAATAATCATGTGCATTGTCTTGCTCATGTCATGAATATTGCTGTTCAACATGCACTTAAATCACTAAAAGCAACAGCTGCTAATAACGAGGATGAAGTTTTAAATATTGATGATAATGACGTGAATGGTTTCCATACTATAATGAAGGTAAATCTTAAAACCATTTTTATTTCAGTAAATTGTGCACTTGGTGTACTTATTATATTTAACGTAATGATTTTTTAATTCTCTAGCTATGTAAATTAATTGTAAAAATTAAATCATCTCCACAATGACAGGAAAGGTTTTCAAAGGCTTGTGAATTAGCCAATTTAAAATATAAAGAATTGATTTTAGATGTAGTCACACGTTGGCATTCTACGTATGAAATGATTATGTGTGCTATTGAATGTAAAGAGATAAGTATTTAAATGCAATTTATTTTAATTTATTAAATGAGTAATGATATAAACATGTTTTCTATTGTTTATAAGCTGTAGAAAGTGTGGGAAGAGCAGATAGAGACATGATTAAATGGGTGTTAAATGAAGAAGAATGGTCAAAGCTTGAAATTTCTCAATTATTACATGTAAGTTAATTATTATTTTTTTTGATGCAATACTATTACATCATTTTTTTTTTTTATATTAACTTATTATTAATTTAATATATGTTTTGCTATTTAGCTTTTTTCACATGCAACTAAACAGTATTTCTACAAATCATTATCCAACTCTTACTTCAACAGTTCCTATATTTAATTGGCTAATTGATAATCTTGAAGATTATGAACACAATTTAAATGGTACAAGTGATATTAAAGGAAAAGTTAAAGAAGTGATTGAAAAACTTAAGTTTTATTATATTAGGACTGATGCTTCTGTTTATACTATTGCTACAAGTAAGCATAATGGTTTTAGTTCAATATAAACTACAATAATTTATACTAAATTGATATTTTTATTAGTCCTTGATCCAAGACTCAAGTTAGATTATTATAGAGATAACAATTGGGAAGCAAATTTTATAAACAATGCACATCAAGTTATCAAAGATATATACCAATCTGGATATGCACCAAATTTGACTGTATTTAGCAATCCTGAAAATAATGATATTGAGAAGAAGAAGATCTTACTGCTCATATTTACAAACATCAACAAATTGTCAGAGATGATGATGAATTGGATGCATATCTTAAATCACCAAATGCACCACCAAAAACTGATGTATTGACTTGGTGGAAAGTAAGTAAATTTTTATTTAAATTATTGTATATAAATATAGATAATTAAATTCACATGTTTTGTTATTTGTTATTCTCCAGAATCATGAGTCAGAGTATCCACATTTGGCATTGATGGCAAGAGATTATCTTGCCATCCCAGCAACAAGCATGCCAGTTGAGAGAATTTTTTCAGGAGGAACTGATCTAGTGACAGCAACCAGGTGTAGTTTATCTGCAAGCACGATTAGAGCTTGTATGTGTCTTAGATATTGGTGGAAGGGGGTATTAAAGAATCAATTATGAATATATGTAAATAAAATTTTGAATAAATAAAATTTTATATTAATTATCTATAAATCAATCTGGTCTAGTTTTGATCTGAGTTTTGATCTGATCTGATCTGGTTCAAAACAGATTGCATTTTTATAGGATCTGATCTGATCTAATCTGATCTGGTTCTAATCTGATCTGATCTGTTTAAACAGATTGCAAATTTAACAGGATCTGATCTGATCTGGTTTAAAACAGATTGCAATTTAATAAGATCTGAACTGAACTGAACTGAACTGGACAGAACTGAACTGATTTTGATCTGATCTGTTCGGAGCCTTAGTTATGTCAATTATAACATCAAACATATTGCATAATAATCATGACCATCACGAATATTTGATGGATGGAGACATTCACATACAAGGAATTGATTAAACAGCTAAGTCATGTTTGTTTTATCAAAGATGTATAATTAATTATATTTAAAAAATTATTATTTTATTTCACCTTTGTAATGGCATTAATTTCAGTTGAATTAATGTTATTAAATGTTTTTTTATTAACACTATAATATAATGGCATGAAAAAAATTTCTAATTTCGGAATATTTTTTTTTTTTGGTACATTTCAATTGGATTTTATTAGATCACATTCAGCAAAAATCTCAGAAGACTACATTGTGCATTAATTCTAAAATAAAAAAATATGTTTTAATGTTTTAGTATAATCAACAATTTTCTTCAATTGTTTTTTTAGAAATAACAATAATTATCTTTTATTTATTTGTTTATCTGTTTTAGTTGATCAATAAATCTCAGGTCTCAAGATAGTTTATCTTATCCATTTTTAGTGATAATAAATAATTTAAATCTAACGTAATTATTTTTCATGGAATCAATTGAGGATTTTTATTTTCTCTTTTATATCAATTATTGAATATATATTTCTGATATTTATTTGCAGACCCACTTAAATTTAATTCTTTCTGCTTGCTTTGCTTGTCACCACAAGACCTATTTCAATTTTAAAATAAATCAAAACCTACAAAGTGAACATGAAATTATAAAATTATATATATGAGGGGCGCTCTAGGAAAAGAAGGGTCGGAGATTTTTGATCAAAAAAATTTTTTTTATATAATATTAAACTATCCCTTAAACGAACAGAAATTTAGACCATATTTGGTCTAAAATTTCAAATTTTTGTAGACCCCATCTAAACAAAAAGTTATCATTTGTTCCCCATTTTTTTTTTTTGATTTCTAAATAGACAAAAAGGTATAATTTATACATATAAACCATTTTATTTGATTGATATTTTGGGGGAGAGTTTAATTGGTATGAAAAAAAGGTGTATTGTAAAAAAAATCCCGATTTTTAATTTTTTTAATAGTTATGATTAGAAAAAAGTTTTTACTCGTTGATTATTTGGTCTAAACCGTAAACTATGTAAAAATACTATTTCTAATAAACAAGTTTACTTTAAAAAAAACCCCCCCTTTTATAGTTAATGAATAAATGGAATAACAAAGTATTGACAATCATTCATTATAACTTTTATAAATTAATTTGGAAAATTAGTTATACTTACTTGCTCTTACCATAGATAATTAATTAATTTACAAAAATCGAACCATCCGGTTTACAATACAGGTTTTCATTTTAATATGTGTTGAAAATCATGTACATATTTTTTATTTTTGTGTAAAATTTATAAAAATTAAATTTATTTTTTAATCACTACAATGATATTTTACAAAACAATTTCTTTTCGAGTTTAAACATAAAGCAACATTACATAAAGTACAAAATATAAATGAACAACTTTCATTATTTGTAGACTTTCCTTCTTCTTCTTGTGTCATATATTTACAATACTCGCATTTAGTCCTATTTTCTCTATACTCAGGCAAATGATCTCCTTGAATTAATCTTTCCAATGGAAGAGTTGATTTAGAAGTAGTGTAAGCTTGTCTTGTGTGAGAAGATGATGAAAAAGATGATTGATAACGAGTTTCTCTTTGACCAGTATTCCTATCTAATCCTTCTTTTATTAAATCCCATACAATACTCATTCTGAAATCTTTATGCATAATCTGATTATTATATTTTTTTTTGTATATTAAATAAGAATTTATGATAGCAGTATCCAATAACCAGAAAAATATTGGCACCCAGGTTCTTTGAACTTTTTGCTGAGTGGAATAATAACTTCTTAGTTGATCTGCAATATCAACACCTCCCATATGATGATTGTAATCATCAATTATCTTTGGGATTGGTAATAATTTTTTTGTTTTACTACCAAATACTTTTTTTACTTTAACTGCATTACTACTAGTCTTACGAGGACAGCACCGAAGTTTATATATTCTATTTTCAAAACCAACTATATTATGTATTGTGACAGGACCATTATCAATCCATAATACTGCCAATACATCATTATCTACAACAACACCAGAGAGGGTATCCCAATCTAATTTCTTCTTTCCTATTTTAAGAGCTGGTGGAAATCTTGAAGAATTAGTACGAATAGTTCCACAAGCACCAATTCCTTTACTATGTAAAAATTTGAATAATGTGATGCTAGAGAAGTAATTATCCATATAAATATTGAATGCTTTATTGGAAGGTAATTTGGAAGCTAAATGATAAACTTGACTTCCTATTTTATTAAGATTCTTAATTTGTTCAACTTCATTATCTTTTTCAATTCTAGAGGTAAAGATGAAAGAAAAAGTATAACCTGCATCACATAAAGCTAAAACCTTATACCCTTCTGGTGTTGGCTTATTTTTTATTCTGAAAGTATGTGCACTTCTGCCACAAAACCTTATAATCATTTCATCTATAGAAATATTAGATGATGGTACATAAATTGATTGTGATATCCTATTTATGTGGGATGCTAATGGTTCAACTTTTGAATACCAAAATGGATGATTCTCTTCCATATCAGAAATATGCAAAAAATTTTTAATTTTTTCAAAATTTCTAATACTCATATATGATGCAATAGAATGTATTGGGTATCCTTTTTTTTTATTCCATAAATCTCAAATTGATGGCATTTTAAATAATCCAGCATAGATAATAATTCCTAACCAAATTTTTATGTCAAATAAATCGATGCTTAACCATGAATTTCCTCCATTTTTATTTATTGCATATTTATTGGTATTAGTTACAATTGTTGCTAAAATAGAATCAGAGAAAAATAATTTAAAAATTTCATAAGGGCTAACTGAATCAAGTCTATTAAATTCTCCTGGCAAATTATCTTCAGAATCATGTAATGGATTACGATGATTAAGTTGATTAAATAGTGGTGGATGTGGAAGGTTAATTTGTTGAATTTGTGTTCCTTTAATTCTTGTAGTTGTTGGAGTTTCATCTATCTCCATTTCCTCAGTAGTCCCATCATTATCAGTTCCATTACCATCTTCTAAATTGTCAAGGGATTCAATAAATTCATTATACTCAAGAGATTCATCTTGGTAAATATTTTGTGGTCTTCTTGTAATATTAGCAATATAATAATCTAATTCATTATCAGAATCTTGTTGATTTTCTTCAAAAATATTTTCTTGCATTTTAATTGAACTCTTTTTTATTTTTTTATTTTTTTATTTTATAGATACAGTAATTATCAATAAATTGAATTTCCTTGATGTATCTTCTACTTGGGCTTATATATAGAAGATTTAGATCAAGTAAAAGCCGTTTTAAAACATATATATACATTGGCATCATACATTCATCATGGTCTTATACAAAATTTTTGTTGTATGTTCATTATAAAAACATTACTAAAATCAGGCTATTTAAATTTTGGATCAGGACATGATAACAGCTGTTTAAAAATCGTATGATACCAAAATATTATAAATAACGGGATTCGGAAAACCTTTTATTTATTCCAGATTTTTGTACTACATAAACAATACATAATAAAATCTACATAATAATAAACCATTATTATTTTATTTACATATTGAGATACTATTTGAGAAGAACTTTTGAATAGTACACGCCACACCTGGGATTTTACATAAAAACTTTTTTGTGTAAAGAAAAAACAGAATTCGAAATTTAGACCATATTTGGTCTAAAAATCGTTTAAGGGATACAAAATAGTCTAATTCAACATTAACACTAATACTAATACTATAGTAAACGATAGTGATACAATAACGTCATAGTTTAATTTATGAAAACTTCTGAAAACGCTTTTTTCAACATCTATTTACTGTTACAAAAAACCAAATCAGCGTTAAATCATCTCTATTGGACCTTTTTCATTTAACAATTTCAATCTCTTGTATTCATTTATCACACTCCTACCCACCTTCAAGGAATCGAAGTCAAAATCAAAAACATCCATCGAATTCCAGGAAGGAGATCGACTCATCGCCACATAGATCTGACCAGGAGCAAACATATTTTGATCTATGGTCAAGATGATGTGTGGCAACGTTAAGCCTTGGGTCTTGTGGACGGTTAATGCAAAAGAGTTCTGTAAAGGGATTTCACTTCGGTTTGAATACTGGAAAGAAATGAGACATTGTTGCTGGATTGCTCAGGTTGATTTTCTGGATTTGGTTGTAGAAAGTGGGAAATGACGTAATGATTGATTTTATGATCCATGGTTTCAAAAAATTAAGTGTAGACAGTTTATTTAAGATTTGGGGATTTAAAAAAAAATGCTAATGAGCAAAAATTTATTTATTTTATTGAACAAAAAAATCTAAACACATCAATTTAAATTTAGATCGGAAATTAATTTCACAACAGAAACCATCAGATCCTTCATTGTTAAAAATTCATTCAAGGCTCGTGCATTTCTTTTAAACCTTTTTGATTTAAGAAATTAACCTCTTATACTCATTTATGACATCGACGTCCACTTTCAAGCAGTCAAAATCAAAAGATAGAATGTCCAACGACTTCCAGGAAGAAGCTTGACTCATCGCCACATAGATTTGTCCTGGTGCAAACATGTTATGGTCTATAGTCAAGGTTGCACATGGCACTGTAAGAGCAAATGCATTCTGCAACGGAAGTTGATACCTTGATGCTGGTATGCCATTTATATTAAAATTTGCAGTGCTTTTCTGAACGTTGATTTTCACCACATTATCAGTTGTTGGGAATGTAACTTCAACATTGTCATCATTAATAACTTTAGTTACCCCTCCTATTGTCCCATTGCAGATGTTGTGCTCGAAGAGTTGGTTGTTCAAGAACATAATGGATTTTTGGAGATTTGTGTGATTTTTGAAAGGCAAGTTGTGCCCACCATCGATCCTCTCATGATTTAAAGTGTCAACTGCTAAGGAAACAACAGGATTAGAGCATCGGTCATCAAAAGGTAAGTGCTCACAAACGAAGGTGTTTATTTGGTCTGATATTTCATGGGTACTAACAATGTGGGTGGTGTTTATCATCACCCTGGAATTTTGAGATCTTTCTACCTTTTCATTGATCAACAATTTTGATTTTTGTGAGAGGTGCCCAAATCTCAACTCCTTGAGCAAATGGAAAAAATCCAAATCTTCCTTCTGTCGTTGTGGCCTGGACAAGAACAGAGGGAAAAACACTTTCCATGCCGGTGAAAAGAAAACCTGTTCTCCGTTCACGGGAGGCAGTTGGAAAAGATCACCAACCAACAGCACCGAAATTCCACCAAATATCTTGTGGCTGTTGTGCAACGAACCAAAAAGGTTACTCAGGAACGAAAACAGCTCATTGGAAACCATCGATACTTCTTCTATCACAACAGCCTTGATCTTCAGCAGAGCTTCTCTCGAGGACTCGGTACTTAGGGACAAGGACTGGTAGTGGCCATCTGTTTGTCTTATTCTCAAGGTTGAATGAATGGTCCTCCCACCAACATTCTGTGCTGCAACACCTGTAGGTGCCAGCAACAGGTAATTGATTTTCTTTTTTTCCAGCATGTCTATCATTTTTAAAGTCATGAATGTTTTTCCAGTACCTGCAGATCCGGTCATGAAGAAGTACGGATACTTGTTTTCGCATTCGGGCCCCAAGAATTACAAAGTGTGTTGTATATTTTGTATTGGTCGTGATCAAGCATCAGTGTGGAGGCTGTTCAAAGAGAAGGCTTTTCCAACGAGATAAGCTGGTTATATATAACGTCCCAGAGATCGTTCTTTTGTAGATCTGTCAGGACGTGTTCAATCACTCTCTTGAACGCTTCAGAAAGTTGGAATTTGCCGGCAACGGAACTTTTTGATAATCTCAACATGGCCTGCTCATACCTTATCAGGTACAGGCTTCTAAACCTATCCCTATAACTTGTAAATCCTCCTAGCAAATCAACCTCAGAGCGAACGGCATGTTTCATTATAAGATGCTGATAGAAAAATGGCTCTCCATCGTCAACATTATAATTCGTAAATCTCACGAGCAACGGTTTGGTCCTTTCAGCAACAAATCTATTTTTCAGATCTCTTGTCAAGTAAAGCTTGCATGTTCTTCCCAGTGGACGACCCCCAACTTTAAATCTTTGAAAGTATTCAGGGTAAGTTAAACTTTCGAAAAGTTCATTACTTGGGCCGATCAAAATACTTGTCTATCGCATCATCAAAATACGGTTTTTCCTCATCCTCATCCTCATCTTGTTGCTCCTCAATTTGCATGTGAACGGGCTTGACCGAACAAATTCTCAATTCGGAAGGGGCTGATGGAAGATATTGAATGGAAGCAGAAGACCTTGTTATGGAATATTGCAAAAGCAATATCATGAGTTCCATCAACCCTAACCTCCTAGCCTGGACATGTCTGCTGTAAGAATCTTGTTTGCTAACGTTGAAGATTTCCGTGGGTTCAGGCTTGGTGGCATACTTTGTCACATATTTTCCAAACCCAAGGGTCGTTATGTATTGGAAGTTGATGTGTCCTTGCCAAATCAAAAGTGTCTCAAGGTGGTACAGTACAACCCAGCGGTCTTCCTCTTTGGTTCTTCGATAGACGTATCATTTGGAATTTGGCCTACAGTACGTGTCGTTTGAAAGCGGTTGAGGGAATCCATTTTTGCACGGTTGCAAATTCGTACCTGGACCTCTGCATTTTTCCGCAATGCATCTATGAATTTGGAACGTTGTGACAAGCCAGTGAAGCTCAGGCTCAAGGACCAGGTGAGGCATGTCCGCACGGATTGCATTGTCCGAAATCAAGCCTTGGATCGAAGATTCGGTGTAGGTGAACCCATGCGTGTGGATGGTTCCTCTGTTCTGAAATTCATCCCTTTTGAAATAGTGTAGGAGCTTACCCCATTGCACAAGACCTGGATTTTTCCAAAGTTTATTGCGCACGTTTGCCAACCTGTTAGGATAATGGAGGTACACATGCAATGGTCTGTTTGTTGGGAGTGGATCTTTGTTGTCGGTGCATCCTAAGATTTCTTTCAGATGCCGCCATTTGCCTTCTGCGGCTGTCATGGTGTAGAAAATTTGGGGCAGGCCATAAGCTTGGATCATTGTGTTGACCTGATACTGTTTTTTCTTGAAAAAAGGTGCGGACGTTCTGATAGATGAAGGTAGCATGGTGGTTAAGGATTTGTTTATGCAGTCAGGGATTTTACCAAATTTGGAAATCGATTTCAGCCTCATTCGTTGATCAATTCATATATGTAGCAAACGAATTAACGTGATACTTCCACTACATATTGATAAAAAAAAATTATTAAAAAACCCCTATTAATAATAATCGAAATATATACTATTCAACTTGCTCTTTCATAATCTGTTAATAATCCGTTATAATCTGTTAAGCAGGTCAAAGTATGTTTTTACTAAAAATCAAGAAATTTTACATGTCAGAAAAGGATTTTTTTAAAAAAGAAATTTTTTTTTCTAATCTTTAGTGAATAAAACGCCAATACCGCCTGTTAACACTTTACCTTGCCTATTTGCTATGTTTATTCAAGAATACAAGTTGAGCCCATGTGAAACTAAAGTGATCAAACTTGGAGGCAGCCTCAGGAAGCAAAGTAGTTGGGCATGTAAATATATTTGTTAAGTATATTACTGATTTATCTTTATTAATTAATTCTTTAAATGAGTACTCTGTTTGTGAAAAACATTACAACCAAA